AAAGTATTTTATTGGTCTATATCGGTTTGGTTCACCCTTCCACCTAGTTAACTCCTGTCACCAGTCTCATGTACTCACTCGATTTATGAATGTGGATCACAGTTTACTCAGTGTGAGATAACAGCACTGGCAGTGGAGCAGTGTTATGCTGAGTAAAAATTTTATCATTTGTTGTATTTAAGCAATTTCATTAGTTTTTTTTTATTACTGAATACATGATTATATATTAATCATTGTTTGATTTACTTTTTACAACCAAACACTAAACCAATCTTTGTCAGGGTGATTTATTTCTACAGTACAGCTTGTACTCCATGCGGTGGTAATATACTGCTGTGTATCAACTTTGTACCTTTTTTGAAATTAGACTGAAATTAGGTGGTGATTGTATGTTTCAGGACTTCGGTCTGGATGTGGAGGCCTTTCGGCAGATGGTGGGAGACTGTCCTCCTCATTTCTTCAACCTCACAGTAATCTGCTGCAGTGTAAGACCTCTTATCTAATGTCATGACTGATCATCCATCATCCTCCCCTGCAAATCTTACGTTTACAGTGGGTTTGTGCTTAGTCGAGCAACAGTCTTCTTCTGCCTGTCCAAGTATACACGACATAATGCGTAATCGGATATTTCAAAGATTAAATTTACTTCTTTTAGGAGCAAGTGCACAATGCCTGGGCAAATTGTAGTCTAACCATATTACATGAAATGCCAACCTCCGCTACCATTGGAAAAGCGTAACCGTCTACATGGACCATGTCTCCTTTGTAAACTAATCACGTTGTAGCTTTAATGTCATTCATTGAATCGCTTTGAGTTTTACACCTGTCAGTCACTGTTTGAGAATACCATAAAAAATGATTGTGTAGTGCCGTAAATGAAATAGTCCCTGTCGCAAAATTGTCTTCTCCTATAAAAGAGCATGTCTTGTTGTTGAAAACAAATATAGCTCTGAAATAATAAACATTTAATAGCAAACACATTTAAGATTACTAGAAAGGCTGTCAGTTGATTAAGCTATAAGCATACTGAAGCTTCTCCTCCATTGACATCCATAAAAAAAACTATTGTCCCTTTTACCACTACTTTTTTTTTTCTCCGCTAATCTTGAAGGCTCACCTTACAAAGCTCTGGTCTAAGCCAAGCTACAAATATATTATTCAAGTCTGTTAGTCTGATTTCTCAAATATATGGCCAATTTTAATCAGCCAAAAGTTTTACATGACATTACATTATTACAATATTAAATCTGTCCATCTCTTTTTTCTCTCCCAGATGAACCCAGAGAGTCGACCCTCATTCACAGAGCTGGTGGCAGAGCTGGAGAAGAGAGTGAGTGATGGAGAGCAGAGTGAATCTATAGAGCCTGATGTACAGGGTGAGTCTGCAAAAAAAAAACAGCACAGAAAATGTGTTGTCAGAAGGCTTCTTTTATTTTTCTGTTCACACTTATGTAAATTATTCACATACATAATGCAAGTTCATGTCAATAAAATGTAACAGTCATAATTTAGTTTTAGAATATTTACTAAATTAAATAAAATAAAAATTAAATATCTTTTGGTATAATCATTTCTATTTTAATAGTGCTCTATAAAATCAGGTTTATTTATTTATTTATTAAAAAAAAGCAATTCTGGATTCTATTTTAATGGTTACATTTTAAAATGTAGTCAAAAAGGATGTCTAATTAACTGAAATCACGAAACTACAATTTATTAAAAGATTAACATGTTTATTTTTAGTGCCCTATGAAATTGTTTTTTATTTTTCCCCACATTCTCCCCAAAATTTTAATGAACAAAAAGTATGTCTAATCAATTTAATTAAACTTTAACAATTTAAAGCTGCAGTCCGTAGCTTTTTTGGGGTTACAAATTATCCTAAATCCATATTTGAGAAAATACATAACCAGCCAGTGTTCAAAACTCTCTGCTTGCCTTAGCTCGATTCAAAGCGGTAAGCTTGTAATAATGTTTTTAATTCCGGTGATACTGGTGGATGTCCACGGAAGATGCGAGCATGTCTTTGCGTCATTACGTCACATCTGTAAAGGAGTCTCAGCTAGTAGTCTATATTATGTGTGAGGATGTTGGAGGTGGAGATTTATAGCCTTTTCTCATTGCACTTGATGTAATTAAACTTATCAATTTGATGGCGGATCCAGAAAGGTTCAATCACCAGTGACGACAGCTTCACCCGTTGTAAAATGCAAAAGACTTTGTTCGGACTTCAGAGTGGCTACAGAAAAAAAGACCGGACCCGTGCGAAAACAAGGATACATATCGAAGGACATTACTGTAATCACGCAATGCTGGCGTTGTTAACATTAACAATTTGAGAACAAAGTATAATTTGCATGATATTTGCGTGATATAACTTGTAAGCGATCATTGGATTTAATCAGCGCGATTTACTGCAATGTCAGAATCAGAACTAAAGTGGATGTTACTTGTTCAGATCACATTTCCCGAGTGAAAATTATGTTGTTCATACTTCTAAAAAGAATAATATGTGATTCTGAATGCCACTATCCACACTGGCTGACAGCCACACACTCTCCTCAAACACGGAGTTCATGCGCGCTGTGCCGTGTCGAACTACAACTCGCGTAAAGTTGATAATTCCGCGAATAACTGCAATTGCAGATTCCGAACAGAGATGGCGACAAAGAGGAAAAACTTCGTACTGCAGCTTTAATAATTTGTTATTCAATTCAGTACCCTTTTTCCGCATCATGAAAATCATAGGACCCTCATTGAATAACTATTATCGTAGTGGTAAAAACTGAGCCTTAAATTTGTTTTTCTCTTCCCTTTCAGACCGGTTGTCCACAAACACGTCCTTTGAGTCAAAAGCATTCTCTAGACATTCCTGCTTACCAGCGTCTCTGCCGTAGCAAGTCAGACGTGCTTCTCCCTCCATCCCCTCTCCTGACTCAGACCACACCGATGCGTGTCAACCCTTTCTCCCAGCGCCTGGACCTCAACGGCGGTCGCATCAAGCTCTTTGACACCCCCAGCAAGTCTGTTATTTCCCTCACCTTTGCCCTCCCTCCACCACCTGACCCCAGCAGCCCTGTCTCCGGTGACAAGGGCCCGCCCCATTTTCACAGACGCAGCCAATCACTGCCCTGCACGCCAGAAGACATCCAGTCTCTGCGTGGCAATGAGAACTGCAAGAATAATAAAAGTGTTAAGGACGCATATTTAAATCCAGCCAATGTAAATATGTTGGACATGGGAAGGGACAGTGTGTTGACCATGAGCAATGAGAGTATTGCTGACCTGTCTAATATTAGCGAGCTTGTTGATGCACCTGTTGAGGATGACATGGAGGAGAGTCTTAAAATGAGAAGTCAAAAAGCTGTAGCCGATGACTCTGGTCTCCTGTTAGATGTTGAGTTGATATCTCCAAACAAATCGATGTTTGAGGAGCCTATGGACTGCACCAGCTCTCCTGATACACTAGATGGCGCCAGCGTTACTTCAACAAAAACCTTCTCCAATGGCTCCAACGGCCTGCCCTCTGTACCTCCGTTACTAGACCCGGACAACAACAACAGCACCACCATCCCTATAAACCAATCTCTGGGATGGGGGGCTAACAACTCCAACGGTGCCACTACCCCTCTTACGCCTCCGGAACAGGATGAGGTCATATCCTGTCTGGGTTGCTGCCTAGCAGGGATGAGTTTCCCCTCTATTTGCGCACGTGGACCTCGACAGAACCCCTATAAGAACTTGAATGGCGATGCGGCAGGGAAAAGGCTCCTGTGCAAGGCGTTGCCGCCCTCGCCCACAGAGCCGAACATTGCTCTGCCTGGCACACGGACATAAATTATAACTGCATGTTATATAGGTGAAGCACTATATTTAAAAAAGATGCTACTGCTTAATGCGCCTGTACTGCTCAGAAATGTCTTTCTGGAGGGAGACAACTCTGTATTATTGTTTAGACTAGGTAGATCATTTAGTATTCTGATCGAATGTCCTAGTCCTCCAAACTTGAACACTCCCATAGGTTTTAATGCCTTTCTAATGACATGTTGTTAATATTTTTTGTTATTTTTACTATTATTTGAAAGGTTCTAAAAATATTGAGTGGAGAAAAATATGTATTATTTTATTAATGACATTAAATGACATGAGCTAACAGGCTGTGTTGTCTTTGGAGGATGTGAATCACATTATTCCTTTACATGTTATGTGAATCACATTATTACTTTACATGTTATATGAGTCACATGGTAAAATGGCTACCAAGTCTACATAGGGTTATATGAGTCTATATGGAGAAAGTATACATGATATGCTTATTCTATGCACTGCATCTACAAGAGGGTATGTACCTGCAATAGGTTAACATACCATTTATTACAGGGTGTTTTAAACGCACTCTATATCAGTAAAGTTTGGGGTCAGTAAGATTTATTTGAAGAAATTAACACTTTTATTCAGAAAGGATGCATTTATTGATCAAAAGTGACTGCCTAAGGACTTTATCACTCAAGATTTCTTTCAAATTAATGCTTTTTTAAACTTTCTGTTCGTCAAAGAATCCTGAAAAAGTGCATCATTGTTTCCACAAAAATACTAAACTGCGCATCATTGATAATAAGAAATGTTTCTTAAATGCACCAAGTCCATATTAGAATGATTTCTGAAGGATTGCAGGAAATAGCAAAATATTTTACATTTAAAAATGAGCTAATCTAGCTAAATACAATACTTTAAAATAGAACTTCTTTTTTTTCATAAATGAATTGAATAAATGCAGCCTTGGTGAGCATAAAATAATGATTTTTACCTATAAGTAGGCTATAAAATAATTCTTAATTAAAACATTTATAAATTGTTGCAATTTCTGATTGTCATTTTCACCAGAGAGTGCTTTTGTTCTCGTCCTCCTGTTTCCTCTCTGCACGTGGGTTTAGTCCCTGTGTGGTTTTGTGGCATAGCCTAAGTGAAGCTGTGACATCTGTCCTTCTCTCACTTTATCTGTTCATCCACTGAAAGAAAGAGCTAATGAAAATCTCTCCCATTCTTCTGTTTAAGGTAAATCTTTCTGTGTTGAGGTTTTGTTTTGTTTTTTATCTCATTTTAAATTTGTAATATTAATATCATAATATAAACATTTTGTCGGACATGGTACTTTGATAAATACATAATTTTTTCCCCTTAAAATAACGTGCAGGTGCGGGGATGCCTGTCACTACCCTGAACTTGTTGGAATATATTTTTTATTTTTTTCTGATGTTTAATGTAGGTGAGTTTATATTTTTTGTTTCTCTTGTATTCTGTATGGATGTTTATGCTTTCACATCTGTGATATAGGTTACACAGGTGCAACATGTTCTTGTTTTCATGTGTTTTTTTTTTTTTTTTTTTTTTTTTTTTTTTAGAGACTGTGCTCTCTGTCTGTGATGTCAGGGTCCGTACAATCGATTTAGGATGCCATCTTGAGTGGCATTGCCCTGATGCCAACCCTAAGACCACTTATACTGTCCAGACCAAGACATTCGGGTGAGTCTCATCTCCACACAAAGAATAGGTTTAGAAACACATGAGTAACTGAATGACGTGGACGATTTTGTTTATAGGAGAAATGAGAGTGAGAAGCAGAGAGCAGTAGAGCGCTTGACTGATAGGTGAAACTGTGTGTGGTTTAGCAGAAAACCACAGTCAAACACAATCCGGGCTTATTGCCCCAAAGCAGGCGGGCTAATGTTATCGCCTCAGGCATGCTGTTGGTTTCCTCTGAATTAGTATTGAAAAAGAAAATGACTCACAAGCGATCAAGCTTAATTTTACTCGTTACTTAAAAAAAACCAACATGCCCAGTGGAAGAGTTGCGTTTTTAAGAAAATGGAAGTCAGAATATTTGTTTGGGTAACACTTTACTTAAATGGGTATGCATAAGACTGACATGACGCCTTCATAACCATGACATGACATATGTCTTGAATATGAAGTAGGGTTTATGCATGTTTATGACAAGTGTCATTAAGTGTCTTTCGCTCAATAATGACATTTTGAATGCAAATATGACATTTTTTAAGATGTCTTTACGACATCTTCACATAAACCATAACATCATAACCTGTCAGTGTCTTTGTCTTGAAAACTTGACAATAAAATTAAGTTAAATTGTCATGTGGTTGGTTTTAACATTGGCTGCCATGAGGCCATTATAACTGTCATGAATATTTTTCCTCAACTACAGTGGAACTAATTGAATTTGTCATTAAAAAGTTATAATGGCTTCATGACAGCCAATGTCAAAACCAACCACATGACAGTTTAATGTAATGTTAACCAATAAAGCTAGGTGGTATCTTAAGTTTATGTCATGTTTATGACAGGTTGTGTTTTTCTTAGTAATGTCAAGTTGTCATGACAAAGACACTGACAGGTTATGATGTATTGGTTTATGTCAAGGTGTCATAACAAAGATATCTCAAAGAATGTCATATTTGCATTAAAAATGTCATAACTGAGCGAATGACACTTAATGACAGTTTTCACAAAAACACATAAAACTTCCTTCATATTCATAACATAAGTCATGTCATGATTATGAAGGTGTCATGTTAGCCTTATGCACACCCCTTCAAGTGAAGTGCTAGCTTTGTTTGTTTCACACAGTTTTGAATGGCCGGATGATCACCATAAAGACATTTTTGGCATCTTCATTAAGTTCTCTTGATTTTATTGTGTGTTTGTGTTGCAGTCCATGGGAAAATGTTTCAGACTGCATCCAGATTTCCCAGCAAAGCTGTGATCTGTCACGCGTCTTTCCTGACATACACGCCTACAACTTCATCAGGCTGACATCAGAAGATTTTCCTGGGTTGAATCAAACTCTGCTCTGTGACCCTTTGAATGACTGTCAGTATTAAACCTCACAAACAATTAGGAAAATTGTGCAAAGCTTGAAGCTTAAAAAACATTGCATTTAATAAACATTGTTTAAAAAAAGAGCTACAGAAATATATTCACTAATATTAGATCACAGTGTGAGTGTGTCGAAACACATGATGGCTATCTGTCTAACTAATTTACATAATTAGACAAGAATTAGATAATTACAATATCTTGTAATTCCTCTTAAAGTGTTAAGATAACAAATGCGTTCTTTTTTTTTGATAGCTTCTGCCACATTCAGCCCCCCCAACATTAATATCTCCATGGACAATGGAAGTTTGCAGGTGACGGTAAATTTTCCCCGTCTTCCATCCAAAATCTGTTCTGATTATGATGAGGAAGAGGAGATGGCTTGCCCCATCAATGAGTTTAAAAAACTCTTGGCCACAGTCACTCTATACGACAAACAGAACCTCTCAGATAGACAGGTGCACAACTCTCATCTTTACATCCCTTTAACCCCATTTACTGTTTTTGTTTAAATGGAGAGTTCAGTTGTTTTATTTTTCTTGAAGACACGCACTGGTGAGGTAATGAGGGAAGGCACACACAAGGTGGAATTTGGTTTTCTTCTACCAGGGCGAGTGTACTGTGCTGTGGCCAACTTCACAGCTGAAGGTGTACTGGCCTCCTCTCCCGCGAGCCTCCCGCAGTGTGTTTACATACCAGCAAACACTGGTGTGCATCATTTTTAAGTGTTTGTACTTATTTTGTGGTGTAAAGGTACAGTAAGTGCTGGGTAGATTACTTGCACATTGTAATTGGTTACTAAGTCTAATTACATGACAAAAATTGTAGTTGGTAACGAAAATCCATTACATTTACACGTTTAAGCTAATATAAAAAAAAAAAGTAGTTGAGAGACTTAATGCATTTTAAATAATTGACTGCTATTGTGAGAATAACATGTAATTGTGTCTTTAAAAAAAGTACTTCATTTTTTACATGTAATCAGTTACTACCCAGCACTGGATGCAGTAGGTTACACATTTATTTGCAGATATGTTTGTTCAGTGTTTGTCGGCACTAATGTGTGTGTGTGTGTGTTCGTTCTTCAGAAAGCCTCATCGCCATCGCCATGATTGTGTCTGCTGTTCTCATTGCTCTTGGCCTAATGATATTTCTGCTCTGGAGACACTGTGCATCTTCTGAACGTCCCTTGCCCAGATCTTTGGTACTGGAGTTTTGTGTATTAGAAGTGTATTAATACTTTTCTTGTAGACAAAGTAGTGATATACTGTAAATGTGCATTATATATCTATTTAAACAGATTACAGTGTTATATAGTGCTGAAATGTGTCAGTCTGTAATAAGGGCTTCAGCACAAAATCAGCACTTATGGAACCCTAGCCATCCAATCAAATTAGACTTTGACAATAAAACCAGTTACTCATAGGAACACTCCAAAACCTTCTAATGCAGACAATATGCTTTGCATTAATTGTTGTTTGTTTAATCTGTCACAAACCAGCATTCAATGCATAAAGTACAAACCATTATTGTTTCCAGGCTTTACTTCGAGACCTGGAACTTCAGAAAGAGACATTCATTGACTCCTATAAGGAAGCACCACACGACGAGAGCTTTGAGGGGGACCACGTTTCTGTTGTATCCATCTGTGACTTCACACTCACAAACAACCAGTCATCTTACCAGAACAATGAGTATTACACAAGCCACGTCCTGCACGATCCAGATTGCATTGAGTATTACACAAGCCCCGTCCTGCGCGATCCAGACTGTATTGAGGGATCTGTGGAGTCTGGAGATTTGGGCGTAGAAGTCCAAACCCACAAGTTCCATTCGTTTCCATCTCATCCGTTTCTAGAAGCAAACGTGCAGGGTGAGGAGACACCGAATATTCCTCTGAGCTCGGTGCAAGTGAAATACACTCAACAGGACGAGATGTCAACTGAAGACCCAGAGCTGTATGGAGATGTTGAGATGTTTAAAACTGAATATGAGACCAATAAACATGGGTCCGAGCTAATTCGAACTACTGATGGTTGTTCTCAAAAGACTGAATACATTTAGCTTGAAGAGCTACAGCTTTTCTTTTATGCATCGGTTGCTGGTTGGATTTTGGCATGTGGACATTGCATGCACTCAAAAATGGAGGCCAATGAAGGTGAGCTTGCAGGGGGGAGTGTTATACTGACTAAATTATTGGAGAAGTCTTGGGCGATTGGATAAGTTTTGCTTCTCTTGACAACCCAGAGTGAAATGTGTCACTTCTTGCACGTTTATCATGGTCAAATGTCGCTGACCTGAATCTGGCAGTCTTTATTATTGCCAACACACAATTCAGTGACTCACTCAAATCAGCAGAGCACTATAAATCCTTATTCTGTCCGGGTTACTGTGAGTGCGGTATGGTTTCTGTATGGCTCGATTCATTGTTTTCATTTTTCACTTCTGACTCAGTTGCCCCATTTTGTCTCTCATTTTCTTCGGACCGTGTCTCACAGCTAACCACGCTAAGATGCACAATTTCTGCTGATGTTGCCGTTTCTCTGGAACATTACTACAAATGCTCCCAGGAACCGAGTGTGACTCTCTAGGTTCTGGAAAATATAGCATGTAGTTAAGCTTATGTTGTGTTGTAGGCCTATAGAATTTTTCATGTTTTTCTTATTTTCTCCTTTTTGAGAACGTGTACAAGTATGTGGAGTCGACATGTACAATTATGTTAAATTTCGTACTGTAACAGTGAAGGGAAATAGTTTATACAGCATTTTGTTAAAAATTTGCTGTTTGACTTTTCCCGAAGCCATAATCACGTGACAAATATACCTGATATAAATATAAACTGATTTCGAAAAGCAGATGTTCATTGCCATTTCACTCAACAGTTGACTCGAGTTTTAAATGTCAAGTTTCTTGTTGACCAAATGTACCACAGTGGAAAAAAGTTTGCATGCGTTCAAGTTCAGCTTTAATAAACCACAGCCCACAAGCCTGAAAAACAAAACGCATGTTCATCATATCCTAACAGAAATATCAAAAAATGCACAATAAACCTGCACTGACTTTCTAACCAAAGATCATCACTTTATAGTATTTTTTTGGTTTGTATTTATGTAGTATCTTGCTTCATCAGTGGTACTGCTCATGAGACTTAGACCTGAGTGCAAAAATGGAGGCTCTAGCCCCTTCCAGAGCTGAGATATCGAAACTCAAAAATTCGGCCCGAAAAAAAAACGACAGTGGTACCCCTTACGTTTTTTTTTTTTTGGCGAAAAATTAAGTTTCTCCAATTTTCCCAAAACTCTGGATTCTGATAGAGGGCCATGAGACTTAGACCTGAGTGCAAAAATGGAGGCTCTAGCCCCTTCCAGAGCTGAGATATCGAAACTCAAAAATTCGGCCCGAAAAAAAAACGACAGTGGTACCCCTTACGTTTTTTTTTTTGGGCGAAAAATTAAGTTTCTCCAATCTTCCCAAAACTCTGGATTCTGATAGAGGGCCATGAGACTTAGACCTGAGTGCAAAAATGGAGGCTCTAGCCCCTTCCAGAGCTGAGATATCGAAACTCAAAAATTCGGCCCGAAAAAAAAACCGACAGTGGTACCCCTTACGTTTTTTTTTTTTTGGGCGAAAAATTAAGTTTGTGCCGAGTGTGACTCTCTAGGTTCTGGAAAATATAGCATGTAGCTAAGCTTATGTTGTGTTGTAGGCCTATAGAATTTTTCATGTTTTTCTTATTTTCTCCTTTTTGAGAACGTGTACAAGTATGTGGAGTCGACATGTACAATTATGTTAAATTTCGTACTGTAACAGTGAAGGGAAATAGTTTATACAGCATTTTGTTAAAAATTTGCTGTTTGTCTTTTCCCGAAGCCATAATCACGTGACAAATATACCTGATATAAATATAAACTGATTTCGAAAAGCAGATGTTCATTGCCATTTCACTCAACAGTTGACTCGAGTTTTAAATGTCAAGTTTCTTGTTGACCAAATGTACCACAGTGGAAAAAAGTTGTGGCCCGAAAATTCGGCCCGAAAAAAAAACGACAGTGGTACCCCTTACGTTTTTTTTTTTTTTTGGCGAAAAATTAAGTTTCTCCAATCTTCCCAAAACTCTGGATTCTGATAGAGGGCCATGAGACTTAGACCTGAGTGCAAAAATGGAGGCTCTAGCCCCTTCCAGAGCTGAGATATCGAAACTCAAAAATTCGGCCCGAAAAAAAAAACGACAGTGGTACCCCTTACGTTTTTTTTTTTTTGGGCGAAAAATTAAGTTTCTCCAATCTTCCCCAAACTCTGGATTCTGATAGAGGGCCATGAGACTTAGACCTGAGTGCAAAAATGGAGGCTCTAGCCCCTTCCAGAGCTGAGATATCGAAACTCAAAAAATTCGGCCAAAAAAAAAAAACGACAGTGGTACCCCTTACGTTTTTTTTTTTGGGCGAAAAATTAAGTTTCTCCAATCTTCCCAAAACTCTGGATTCTGATAGAGGGCCATGAGACTTAGACCTGAGTGCAAAAATGGAGGCTCTAGCCCCTTCCAGAGCTGAGATATCGAAACTCAAAAATTCGGCCCGAAAAAAAAAACGACAGTGGTACCCCTTACGTTTTTTTTTTTTGGGCGAAAAATTAAGTTTCTCCAATCTTCCCAAAACTCTGGATTCTGATAGAGGGCCATGAGACTTAGACCTGAGTGCAAAAATGGAGGCTCTAGCCCCTTCCAGAGCTGAGATATCGAAACTCAAAAATTCGGCCCGAAAAAAAAACGACAGTGGTACCCCTTACGTTTTTTTTTTTGGGCGAAAAATTAAGTTTCTCCAATCTTCCCAAAACTCTGGATTCTGATAGAGGGCCATGAGACTTAGACCTGAGTGCAAAAATGGAGGCTCTAGCCCCTTCCAGAGCTGAGATATCGAAACTCAAAAATTCGGCCCGAAAAAAAAACGACAGTGGTACCCCTTACGTTTTTTTTTTTGGGCGAAAAATTAAGTTTCTCCAATCTTCCCAAAACTCTGGATTCTGATAGAGGGCCATGAGACTTAGACCTGAGTGCAAAAATGGAGGCTCTAGCCCCTTCCAGAGCTGAGATATCGAAACTCAAAAATTCGGCCCGAAAAAAAAAACGACAGTGGTACCCCTTACGTTTTTTTTTTTGGGCGAAAAATTAAGTTTCTCCAATCTTCCCAAAACTCTGGATTCTGATAGAGGGCCATGAGACTTAGACCTGAGTGCAAAAATGGAGGCTCTAGCCCCTTCCAGAGCTGAGATATCGAAACTCAAAAATTCGGCCCGAAAAAAAAAACGACAGTGGTACCCCTTACGTTTTTTTTTTGGGCGAAAAATTAAGTTTCTCCAATCTTCCCAAAACTCTGGATTCTGATAGAGGGCCATGAGACTTAGACCTGAGTGCAAAAATGGAGGCTCTAGCCCCTTCCAGAGCTGAGATATCGAAACTCAAAAATTCGGCCCGAAAAAAAAACGACAGTGGTACCCCTTACGTTTTTTTTTTGGGCGAAAAATTAAGTTTCTCCAATCTTCCCAAAACTCTGGATTCTGATAGAGGGCCATGAGACTTAGACCTGAGTGCAAAAATGGAGGCTCTAGCCCCTTCCAGAGCTGAGATATCGAAACTCAAAAATTCGGCCCGAAAAAAAAACGACAGTGGTACCCCTTACGTTTTTTTTTTTGGGCGAAAAATTAAGTTTCTCCAATCTTCCCAAAACTCTGGATTCTGATAGAGGGCCATGAGACTTAGACCTGAGTGCAAAAATGGAGGCTCTAGCCCCTTCCAGAGCTGAGATATCGAAACTCAAAAATTCGGCCCGAAAAAAAAAACGACAGTGGTACCCCTTACGTTTTTTTTTTTGGGCGAAAAATTAAGTTTCTCCAATCTTCCCAAAACTCTGGATTCTGATAGAGGGCCATGAGACTTAGACCTGAGTGCAAAAATGGAGGCTCTAGCCCCTTCCAGAGCTGAGATATCGAAACTCAAAAATTCGGCCCGAAAAAAAAACGACAGTGGTACCCCTTACGTTTTTTTTTTTTGGGCGAAAAATTAAGTTTCTCCAATCTTCCCAAAACTCTGGATTCTGATAGAGGGCCATGAGACTTAGACCTGAGTGCAAAAATGGAGGCTCTAGCCCCTTCCAGAGCTGAGATATCGAAACTCAAAAATTCGGCCCGAAAAAAAAAACGACAGTGGTACCCCTTACGTTTTTTTTTTTGGGCGAAAAATTAAGTTTCTCCAATCTTCCCAAAACTCTGGATTCTGATAGAGGGCCATGAGACTTAGACCTGAGTGCAAAAATGGAGGCTCTAGCCCCTTCCAGAGCTGAGATATCGAAACTCAAAAATTCGGCCCGAAAAAAAAACGACAGTGGTACCCCTTACGTTTTTTTTTTTGGGCGAAAAATTAAGTTTCTCCAATCTTCCCAAAACTCTGGATTCTGATAGAGGGCCATGAGACTTAGACCTGAGTGCAAAAATGGAGGCTCTAGCCCCTTCCAGAGCTGAGATATCGAAACTCAAAAATTCGGCCCGAAAAAAAAACGACAGTGGTACCCCTTACGTTTTTTTTTTGGGCGAAAAATTAAGTTTCTCCAATCTTCCCAAAACTCTGGATTCTGATAGAGGGCCATGAGACTTAGACCTGAGTGCAAAAATGGAGGCTCTAGCCCCTTCCAGAGCTGAGATATCGAAACTCAAAAATTCGGCCCGAAAAAAAAAACGACAGTGGTACCCCTTACGTTTTTTTTTTTGGGCGAAAAATTAAGTTTCTCCAATCTTCCCAAAACTCTGGATTCTGATAGAGGGCCATGAGACTTAGACCTGAGTGCAAAAATGGAGGCTCTAGCCCCTTCCAGAGCTGAGATATCGAAACTCAAAAATTCGGCCCGAAAAAAAAAACGACAGTGGTACCCCTTACGTTTTTTTTTTTGGGCGAAAAATTAAGTTTCTCCAATCTTCCCAAAACTCTGGATTCTGATAGAGGGCCATGAGACTTAGACCTGAGTGCAAAAATGGAGGCTCTAGCCCCTTCCAGAGCTGAGATATCGAAACTCAAAAATTCGGCCCGAAAAAAAAACGACAGTGGTACCCCTTACGTTTTTTTTTTTGGGCGAAAAATTAAGTTTCTCCAATCTTCCCAAAACTCTGGATTCTGATAGAGGGCCATGAGACTTAGACCTGAGTGCAAAAATGGAGGCTCTAGCCCCTTCCAGAGCTGAGATATCGAAACTCAAAAATTCGGCCCGAAAAAAAAACGACAGTGGTACCCCTTACGTTTTTTTTTTTTGGGCGAAAAATTAAGTTTCTCCAATCTTCCCAAAACTCTGGATTCTGATAGAGGGCCATGAGACTTAGACCTGAGTGCAAAAATGGAGGCTCTAGCCCCTTCCAGAGCTGAGATATCGAAACTCAAAAATTCGGCCCGAAAAAAAAAACGACAGTGGTACCCCTTACGTTTTTTTTTTTGGGCGAAAAATTAAGTTTCTCCAATCTTCCCAAAACTCTGGATTCTGATAGAGGGCCATGAGACTTAGACCTGAGTGCAAAAATGGAGGCTCTAGCCCCTTCCAGAGCTGAGATATCGAAACTCAAAAATTCGGCCCGAAAAAAAAACGACAGTGGTACCCCTTACGTTTTTTTTTTTGGGCGAAAAATTAAGTTTCTCCAATCTTCCCAAAACTCTGGATTCTGATAGAGGGCCATGAGACTTAGACCTGAGTGCAAAAATGGAGGCTCTAGCCCCTTCCAGAGCTGAGATATCGAAACTCAAAAATTCGGCCCGAAAAAAAAACGACAGTGGTACCCCTTACGTTTTTTTTTTTTGGGCGAAAAATTAAGTTTCTCCAATCTTCCCAAAACTCTGGATTCTGATAGAGGGCCATGAGACTTAGACCTGAGTGCAAAAATGGAGGCTCTAGCCCCTTCCAGAGCTGAGATATCGAAACTCAAAAATTCGGCCCGAAAAAAAAACGACAGTGGTACCCCTTACGTTTTTTTTTTTGGGCGAAAAATTAAGTTTCTCCAATCTTCCCAAAACTCTGGATTCTGATAGAGGGCCATGAGAC